TTTCAGTCTCAAGCCTGATTCAGGTCACTGGTCAGAATAAAATAATACAGATTTTACTATTTCTGAATCAGGAGAATTCAGGAAGGTGAAAGTACAGATAAAAGGACAGAAACAGATCAGAATTAGAGAATGGGAAACCCAGCCCAACCAGCATGGCTCATTTAAGAAAAGGCCGAGTTAGTCTTTAACAACGATCACAGATAATCTAAAAACTCCGTGGAAGCTAAAATATACAGAGCTGCACATCTTTGACAGCCTTCTTTGGAGCTGATGTAGGGTCAGGGTGCATGCTTTACCATCTTTAAATAAAAGATCTCCATGGACCTGTGCACTGACTCTTATATTACATGACCTTGGAAGAATCACATTATCTGTGGTTGCATGAGTAGTAAGCATTTACAATATCCAAATTCAGACTTACATGATTACGAAAGTATTTTCCTACGTAGCGGCTGACATGAGGGTTATCAGGATCAGTTTTCAGTGCTTTCTTCAGCAGACCCTCAGCTTCTTCATATTTCTTATAGGCTCCGAGCTTCACGGCCAGCATGGACTGCAGAACAGCATCATCGGGGTTGAGCTCCAGGGCAAAGTGAAGCTGTTTGATGGATGGAGGCTCCTCAGTTTCCTGTAAATTTTCTAAAACCCACTGCAGATGAGAAACTGGTTAGTCTACTGTGAACTGCTGAGAACCACACCCCAATGAACTGCTGGGTTTTTTTTTTAGAAACTGATAAATTGGCTGTTTTTTAGAACAATATAAACATAATAAATTTATTAACTGATATCAAACTTATAAAACTGACCTCTTCTGTGCGAAAGAGGGCGATGGCGTAGCCGGCGTTCCACTCAATGTCATCAGTCTGTGTCTCAAGTGCTTTACGAAAACTGTCAACGGCTTGTAAGTAGTAAGATTTTGACAACTTGAGGTAGGTCCAGGCTTGTTCTCCGTAGACCTCTGGAAGGAGACTTGCTGATGAACCAGTGGGATACTTCACCTGCAGACAGAGAAGGTTCAGCTGCAGTCAGAGGTTCAGAAGCATGTGATCTATAACATTTGATCTGATTGGTGTACATACCAGCATGTCCTCGACTTTCTGACAGTAGCTTTGTGACTGTGCAAAGTCTCCAGCATGATATTTCAGCCAGGCCATGTCTCCATACGTCACAATCAGCCGCCTCTCACTCTCATCCCCATGACGCTCCCTGATGGTCTCCTCTGATTGGTTTAAAAGTGACAGCGCTTCCTCTCGTTGACTCTGAAGATACCTGAGGACCATCAACACATGCTTATAATTAAATCATGTTTTTCTGGAATCATACTTCAGATGCCTACACCTGGCCTGGTCTTCAATAACAGCCCTGCAGCAGGTCTTTATTTGTTGACATTTAGCTAAGGTTCTAGACCCCATGGCTGTTAAGATAAATACTCTACCTGCATTTCCACCAAAATAATCATGCAAACAAGTTTTAGGAGGCAGATTTATATTAAGATCGTACCCACACACAGGATAGGTGGGTACTGTCAGGAAATTCAGCCACAAAAACTGACTGATACAATCCATACTGTTTGAGATCAGTTCATATCATGGATCACCACTTCTACTGTCTCCTGGAGTGCTGACTATCTGTCAGAGAGGTCTGAGTTTGTCTGTTGTGGTGGTGGGGCAGTCCTATCACCATTTCTGTTTACCTTGTGCTCCTCAGACGTCCAGTGTAACAGTTAAACATGCCACCTGCAGAAGTTCTCTGATGACACTACAGGGGTTGGGTGTATTATGGAGTACAGGGAGCTTGTGAGGAACTTTGTAAAGCGGTCCAAAATAAATCTCGTCTCTTTGAATGTCAGCAAGACAAAACAGATTGTGGTTGACCTCCAGAGGAAAAA